TCTCCTAGGGGCTAATTTTCTCCCTCTGACGCCTTACAACAAGAAGAAACTCAGTATTTTGCCCTCAGAAGATGAGAAAAATGAGGATGGTAGTCTTCACACCAAAATGAGTGTGCTGAGCAGCCTGGAAGATTTCTCCAAGGTTCCCCCGAGCTCAGATGTGGATGAAGTCAGGGATGTCCTTTAATAAGCAGTCAATGCGCGCCCGTGGTGAAGGCCCCTCGCTAAGTCCTCTGCACACAACTGTCAGAGCTGCGTTTACCCAGAGAGAGAATTAGCAAGGCGGCGACGTAACACCTGTTTTTCTAATCTTTGCACTTAAGTCCGAGCCCGAACTAGTCTAGCTTCCTACCAAGGTCTTGGGGACCCCGCCCGCGCCCAACGAACAGGAAACTTTAAGTGCCGCCCACACCCGCTGGCCTCCAGAGGGGAAATTTTAAATAAGATTCCTGAGGCTGAGGGTTAATCCTATCCATTTCTTTGCCAACCTAGGAGGAAAGCCACGCGAGCCATCAGTACCAATCAGGGTCCACGCAGAGTCTAGGCCGCCGCCAGCTCGAGGAAAACGGTGCAGCAGCCCAGGAGCTGAGCAGTCTCGGTCACCCGGGCAATCCCGAAGCGCAACCGCGCCTCCACCTCCTTCGAAGCGCCGCGGAGTACACGCTCTGGGGAGGTGGCCACTGTGTTCTTCAAAGTCCCTGTACCCCCGCGGCACTTGGGAAGCTGACCTGCGGGAGCCCGTGGGAGCCATGGGAGCCCTAGCAGCCGGTGGGAGCCTGCTGGGCAGGTGGCAGCTCGTGGGAGCTCCTGGAGCAGAGCGCTCTCTCGGTGTAGGTGCCGGTGCTCTACCTGCTACCAGGGCGGGTAGGCGCGGCAGAGTCTGGAACCCCGAGCGGGTAAAATCCCCGGCGCCGCGCGTCTTGGAAAAGCCTGGAAGGGGCCCTCCGACCCCAGGAGGTGCGATTTGGCCCTCCTCAAAGTCAGGCGAAGTCCGGACTAGAGAAGGTGAATTTTACATTGTAAAAGAACGCGAAAGGAAACCCCAATACAAATTGCTCGGCTGGGTTTCATTGCAGCAACCCAGACCTGGGCGCCTAGCAGTTCTGATACAGGCAAAGACCTGCATTGAGCCTTCCCTCATCCCTCGGTGCCCCAGACATTTGGACATCCTAAAGCCAGAGTGATTTCTGTCAGACCGCCAGAGAAACTCACACGTTATATGCTCACACATCTCATATTGGCAGATGTACAAAAAACAGGCATTTTACTTAATGACAAGATCGGGATGAAAGATATTCGTGCAATATCTGAAGATGGCCACTTAAGCAACATAGTTATATCCAGGTATTCACTCTCTACCACTGAACAAAGTTCATGTAGAACAATATTAAGGTCTTCGAAAATATTAATATTTTCTTCTACACATACGTGCCGATTTTAATCGAATCTCATGTAGACTTTGACAGCTCTTGTCAAGTGGCTGAAACGTTGAAGGGCCCCTTACAACTTTTTCCTGTAGGTTGAGCCTGCCAGAGAACAAAACACAGGAAACCTCGAAAAACACTGTCAAAATTTATGGTTTAGAGCAGCCTTTAATCCCAGCAGAGACAGGAGGATCTCTAAATTCAAGGCCACCCTGGTCTACATAGTGAGTTCCAGGCCAGCTGGGGCTACAGGGAGACCCTGTCTCAAAAGACAAAAAAAAAAAAAAAAAAAAAAAAAAAAAAAAGTATAGTTTAGAAATTACAGTAAATATTAATATTACTTCTCTGATCTCTGATTTGGGGACGTTTTGAAAGCGTATTTTAGCCCGCACCCCCTGGGCACAAAAAGAGAGCTACCCCTTCTGGAGTTTCGATTAAGGTGTCTGCCTTAATTGACCTTGGAAATATTCCCCCAAAATGAGCTTCACTGGCTATGCACTGGAAAAAATAATACAACAACTTGAAAACTGAGACTGCTGAATGCAACTGAGAATCTTGTATAGTTTCGCTAAATATTCTGAATATTTTCCATCTACATTTAAAACCATGATCTGAAATACGTTGAATTGCTTGCTGAAAAATGAGTGCTTCTTCTATCATGCAGCATTATATAGGCAGACACAACTTTAGGGCTTTGGAATAAGACATTTGTTAAAAAAACTGTGACTGCAACAAACACTCTGAGTGGGTGCATCCTGTAGTTAGTTCAGTGGGAGCTGGGAGCTTTGCGCTCCGAAAGCATGCACTTTCCTCTTTCTCTTTCAAGAAATTGAGCTTGGAATGATGCGAACCTAATTCAGCAAAGCTGGATGCAGGAACACAACTAAGACACTGGGAAGCTAGACAGATGTCAGATTGAACCAGGATATTCCAATTCCTAATCAGCTTCTTAATTTTAAGGTAAACCACTCTTGATGAAACTGGCCAAAGCTGGGAGATGTTAGTGGCCTGGAAAAGGC